CTACAAGTCTGCTATAGCTTTATAAAGTTGTACAAATTTTCACTGAAATAATCTATGTTCTTACAAATATATTCATGCCAGCAGTTTGATATTCTTTAATAATTCGGTGTTGTCTTGAATATTACTTATCATCAGTGTTCTGTATTTTTAGATGGAATTGTAGATGAAAATTCAACAATTATGACTAAGGAAGATGTAGAACATATTAGTAATAGCTTAAGTTCATTTACAATGTCTGGCAACAGTGGACCTTCTCAAAACCAACAGGAATATCTGAAAGAATGGCCTCAAGCACCTGATCCTAAAAAAGAATATTTAATTTCTACCCGAAGTGAAAGGTATTTAACCTCTTGATATTATTTGTCATAAAATATGCTCTGCTTGAAAAGAAATATTGTTTGAAATAAAATGGATTTAGGCACTTGTTAAAGCAGTCACTGTACGTAGTTGCCGAACTTGGCAATTGCCTAATCTTTAATGCAAATTTTAATATCAGCAAAAGCTTATGCGATGACTGCCTTAACAAAAAATACCTGCAATTTTAATACTTTTAATAGTTAAAAGCAGTGTTTCTCAAATTACTTCCCACTTTTATATACAATTGACTACTCATCACCCTCACCTGAGGGTCCCACATCTATATTTTTTTACAAAAAAATATGTAAGGAAATGGAACAGTAATGATGAGATTGGGTTACATGTATATTAACGAAAATAACAGTAAATGCTCAGTCATATTAAGCAAAATAATACTATAAGGGACAGGAATACAGTTTAAACCAGTAAAAAAAGGGAGGGGCATGAACTTGTTAACTTCATGGTTCGTCAATATTCTGCTCCAATTTTGTCAATATTTTCAAATCTCTATGATTAATTATTTACAACTGATTTGTTTTTTAATTATATGACCTACTGCTTCACTGAATCCATGTTTCACTGAAGAAGACAAAGGGAATTCTATGAGAAATTTCTGTCCAGTATTCCAAATAAGAGGATATTTATAGGATTCAATTTCTTTTTCTAAATTTGGAGATTCTCTTGAAATTGCAGAGAAGCATGAGTCCAAAAGACAATCTGGTACATCTCTTTCTTAAATATCTAATTATTAATAATAATAAACAATTTCTTTAAATCCTGTTTCAGAGCTTCTAAATGTTGGCAATAATCAATTATAATTCTTTGTCATTTTCCCCCACATTTGACAGATTTGGAAAGTGGCTAAATTCCCCTAGGCCCAAGTTTTTTTTTCTCCCCTTAATGAATATCTGAACTTTGTAACATGCACAGAAATTGCATTTTACGTTTAGGTTATCACCATTCATTTGATTTATCTAAAATATCTGTCAAATAGGCTGTATCTGTTTTTGAACTTGTCAAGTTTGCTTTTAAAGCAGTATCTTGGTCTTTTGAAAACTTTTTGTCTGTATAACTCAAGTTCTTTTTAATAACCAATGAACTTCTGTATAAAGAAGCAAATGACTGAACTCTTCATCATTCTTAGCATCAAGTTGTCATTCAAAGAATGACCTCTGATATTATTCTCTGCTCTGGTGATGAGAAGTGAGCTGTGTGAGCATTTCCTCAGATTTTTTGCTGCTAGATACTACTTGTGAGTAACACAGTATACAACTAATATATCTACTACCTCTGATTTCAGATGTGCACAAAATATTTATTTAAAGAAAAAACTTTCCTAGTATGAAATAATGATTCTTCTCAAGTGTTTAAGTTGTAAAATATATTTAAATAATGTTAAGCAGATTTATAATTCTTCTTTATGAAACACATATAAGTGAGAAGTAACAGCTCATTCCTTGGCAAAAGGTACTTCTCAAATTATGTTGGAAAATGAGATGTATTACGTAAAGCGTTTTTGATTTTTTTTTTAAGCCATCTTATTGATTTCTTTTTGGACTTAGATTTTTCTATGATCTTCATTGATAACTTAGCCTACAATACCTCATTTATAACTACTAGAGCCTTCAGGAGTTCGCTTTTTGTGAGTACGGGTGTGGCAATCCCGAGGTACTCTAGCCCGTCTGGAGATCATCTTCTTGGTGAGATGGGTGTCATGATCCTGGAGCTCCAGTGATCTTTACTCTTTTAGAATCTGGCCTTTCGAATATGCACTGAGCGTCCTGATCACTACGCTAGGAAAACATGCTAAGAAGGCGGGAGAAATACCTTATCTACCCCTTCCTTTTAAAGGGTTACTGGAGATTAGGGAATCCAATCACCAAATCTTGGTGGTGAAGAATCGTTATTCACCACCTTTTTTAGTTCGAGCCCCACTGTAGAGATGTAGGTTATTTTGGAAGCAGAAGATGTGAAAAATGAACAATGCCTTCGCCAGGACTCTAATCACTGGCCTCTCAAATATGTGCTACGCGTGCTGACCACTATGCTAAAAGTGGGGAAGATACCTTATAATCTTTCCTTGTTCAAAAATATATAAAAGCCTTTGCTGATGAACCAAAATAAATTAAAGGCTTACAGTCTGATGACTTATTAATAGAAACAGTTTCTGTTAATCAGTCGAAGACCCTTCTTACTATGTCAAAAATTGGACAAGTTGCTATTACAGTTTCTGCACACAAAACTCTGAATTCCAGTCATGGCATGATATTAGAAGTCGACCTATTAACAGTGTTGATTGAAGAATTCATTGCTGAACTTGCTAAGCAGAATGTTTGTGATGCATGTCATATTAAAATTAGAAAGTATGGTCAGTTAATTGATACTAAACATGTTATTTTGACATTTAACACTTCTATACTTCCAAACCACGTTAAATCAGTCTATTTGCATTGCCTGGTGCAACCCTATGAGCCAAACCCTATGCATTGTTTTCAATGCCAGTTTGGGCATTCAAAGGCTGCATATTACGGTAACCTTAACATGTTACGGTAACATGTGCTCGCTGCTGTGTTGCTCGCTCCTAATGAAGTGAGTTGCCTGCTCCTTATTCTTAGCACTGCCAAGCCTCTTTTTCTTAATTGTAAAAGAAGTCGCTCATCTTTCTCTTGCTCCTGTCCCAATTGGAAATCCGTAAAGGAAATTCAAACTATAAGGGCTATCAAAAGAGTTTCATAGACAGAAGCTAAGAGATTGTTTGAAAGCACTCAAAGTATCCAAATCTGAGTTTGGCCGATACAACAAAATCTGTTCGCTCAATAGGCCATTCATACATCACTTATTATTCAAACAAAGACTAAAACTGAAGTACCTCAAAAAATGCCAAATAGCAATTTATCTGTCAGTACTAAAAATACACCAACTCTTAAAAAACCTGAAGTAATTAATATTGAAAAATAAACGAAGTCCTCTTCAAATAACATAAGCTCAGAAACAGTAAATCCTGGTCATATGTCGTTAGAGAGTATGCTATCAGATACGCCTGATTCTGAAATGGAATTAGAAGAAGGATTACCTCTGCCAAAAAATCTTCTACCGCGTCTAATAAAGAATTAGCATAGGCAAAATAAATATTCATGATGGCTAGCTTAATTTCTTGGAACTGTCGCAGATTTCATCAGGTCTCGTGAACATCAAAAGCCTGACAGATATTTATCACCTTGCCTGTTTTGGGGTGCAGAAGACATTTCTAAAGCAAGATAGCATAACTAAGTTGCAGAGATACTCAACTGTCCGCAAAGACTTTTTGTCGAGCGGGTAAGTAGAAGTATTGCTATCCTTAGCTCTCACGTGTACCCTTTGACTGTTTTTCCTTTGCACACATGTCTCCAAGCCGTTGTGGTGCAGATCAATATCAGAATGCTTGTGACTGTCTGTACCATCTATTTGCCTCCTAATGAAGTGATAGATAAAAAGGAATTAGAAGATTTGGTAGAACAGTTGCCTGCTCCTTTCATTATAATTGGAGATTTCAATGGCCATAATCGTATCTGGGGTAGTGGTGATATAAATTATTGTGGAAAATAAATAGAGGACCTCATTAGTGATCATTGCTTGTTCCTCCTTAATAGTGGAGAAGAAACATATTTCCACCAACCCACAAGGACATTTCACAATATTGATCTAGCCATTTGTTCACGATAATTTCTCCCTTTTTGTCCCTTTGTTTTTGTTTAGCACTGGGAATGACACTTTTGATAGCGGTCATTTCCCTGTCTTTGTGACTTTTAATGGAGTTACAGCATGGCCCAATTCCAGATCACCGCGTTTTATTTATGAACAAGCAGACTGAGAAAAGTTTTCTCATTTAGCTATGCTTACTAATAACATGACAAAGAATGTGCTAGTTGATGAAGCTGTAAAGCTGCCGCTGATATTCTTGTTCAGGCAGCTAAAATCCCTATTCCCATATCATCAGGCAGTTTTCCTAAATATCCCAAGCCAATGTGGAACAGTGACTGTCAAGTAGCTCATAGACAGCAAGGAAACGCCTTGTCTTTTTTTTTTTTTTCCCACAGGTATCCCACACTTCGTAATCTTATCTCCTATGAAAAGGCAAAAGCAAATACTTGGAGAGTGTGGCATCAAAGACAGGGATACATGGATCAATTATGTGTCATCCATTAAATTTTCCATTCCAAGTAAGTGTGTTTGTTAAAAAGTTGTAATTATAAGGATCATGGACTTCACATTATGGAAAAGGATGGCTTAACATATAGCAGCAGAGAAGATGCTGCTAATATCATAGGAGAGACATTTAGTGCTGAGTAATAATTATCTGCCAGCATTCCTCTCAGCTAAGCTTCATTGTGGGAATACATCCATCAATTTTAACTCTTCCAATACAGAAACATATAACACTGGTTTCACTATGCTGGAGATGAACAGAGTTTTGTCACTAATGCCTATGAAGAGTCCTAGCCATGATGGCATTTCCTATGTCATGCTGAAGCATTTGTCCAATGAATCACTAAATTCTCTTCTCATTCTGTATAACAGGATATGGGAGTAGTGTTTTTTTCCTAATGCTTGGCAAAATGCTATAGTGATCCCCATAGTCAAACCTGGAAAGGACCCAAAGAATCCATCAAATTATCGTCCTATTGCTCTTTCCGTATCAGTTCTTTTCAAATAATATGTGGCTTCCCTAATCTTCAGATAAATGAAACATTGTGACAAGAAGCATGCAACGAATTGTCTTGTTTGAATATTGTTGAAAAGAGATTAACCAATGTGTGTTGTTCTATTGCTGAGTGTTGGTCTGTCTCATTTTAAATATGTGTAAACATCCTCTGTAAAATTCCAACAAAATTTCAGTCTGAAATGCAAAATGGCTAAGCACTCTCGTCACAGTGATCATATCAGTTAATTCTATTAATTTAATGGAATGGAAATTTTATAAAAATTTATTCATTAAATGTAA